CTCGTGATTTTGTCACAATAGACAAAGAAGAAAACTGCCAATAAACACTGGTTAGGGACTAGTTGTATATGCGGCTGTTATGTTTTCTCCCTCTCGATTATATAGTTTACAAAGCCTTTTAAAGCAACAATAAAAAAGCTTTTTGAATTTATATTTTCAGTTCTTATAATGTTTTCTTTACTTACAATACCGAAATAATATCTCACATACACTAACACCACATAATCAGAAATAAAATCGTTCTGAGCCTTGTTTATCGGCTATTTAACAGTCAATTCCTACGCATCCAAACCGGCGGTATATAGCCAATAAACACCGCTCAGACCGATATTATTTCTTAAATATAGTTCATAGCCAAAGTTTAGAGCATTTGATATAGTTGCACAAGAAACAAAAATACAATCAGAAACTGATTTTACTTCCTATTGAAACCAAATTGTTCATTACAAATTTTATCTGATTAAACTGACGACTTAGACCATTTAACAATATCTGCTAAAATATTAATAAGTGTAATTCCTTTGTAATAAATAGCATCATTAACATCATTTTTTTAACCGACAAGCGTTATTATACCATCTCAATAAACTGTTCACTTTCTTTAACATCCCTAATATTTTTGCCAAAACATCCGGGGTTGGGGTTTAGCTAAGTTGTTTATTTTAAATCTTCGTTTATTTTAAAAGCTTTGTCTTGCAGACATTTTATTCTATTCAAGTTGGTGCGTGCAGCGATTATCAACCGTTTTTGCTGGTTAAATAATTAATGCTTTCTTAATTAAATTCTTTATTTTGCACAAAAGTAGCCAGTTTCACAATTTTTTTTTTGTAAATACACTCAGAGGCACTTATAACCCGACACTTACATTTTTCAGTATAACTTGCTTATTTGTGAACGGATTTTGTTCAGTTTTTTAACATACACAATTCAACATATCATACTTATTTCCTCGAATTTTATTTCCAATTCATTAACAAGAACATAGAGAAAATAACAAGACAAATATGTTACTGCAAAATGAAAAATCACAAAATGACTGTAAATATCGTAACACAATAAAAAAAAAAGTGTCTAAATCCAACTGTTTCTGTATGATAACCAGTTCTAATACTTTCTGTGTCATCCCATGGCTATAACAAAGTGAAAACACCAGTCTCATGGTTATGACGTAGTGAAGGCTTGGGGAATATTTCTTCATTCCTGAATAAGGGCTTTCTCGAGTTCCAGCAACTCCTGCATTCCAAGTCACCAGATCTAAACATCACACTTGTCGGCTAAATTGAACAGGCGTGTGAGAAAGCGGTCGAAAGCTCCTTGCAATTTGCTGGAACACGAACAAGCCCTTATGTAGGAAAAGAGAGCTGTGAGGCAGAGGTGTCTACTTTTTTATAGCCAATTGGGAGGACATACAAAGTGTTAGAACTGGTAAACAGAATGGGATTCAGAGACTCCATTGTGTTACGATTTTTACAGTCATTCTGTCATTTTTCATTTTATAGTGGCCTTTTTGTTTTGCTATTTTTTCTATTTTCTTATCGATGAATTGTAAATATAATTCCAAGTAGCAAGTATGATATGTTGAATTTTGTAAAGTCCAAATTTGAACAAAAACCGCTTACAAATAACATATGTATACAGAAAAATGTCAGTGTCGGGTTATAAGTGCTTCTGAGTGTATTGCTTTGTTGCAAACACGTCAACTCAAAATCAGATATAAATAGGGTAATAAAATGCAACTTGTCTTTTTGTTGACATATGACCTATTTAGTATCGTTTTTTTACTTAACATAAACAGGGTTAGTCTTTCTTCGTCCCATGAATTCTTCTTATCACAAGAATAATTATCCGGTTCATACAGTATGTCCAATCCCAAACGGAAATGAACTTTTGCCTTATATGAAAGTTGAATCATAAATTTCTGTAAACAATCTCGAAATTGTTCAGGCTTTTTCTAGTGTTTTTTTTTATACAAAGGCGGCAATTTTGAATTCTCTACGACGACAGGTTTCTGTTGTTTATTTTTCGAAGCTATAGCAGAAGTAGAACGGAACAAAGCAGTTTTAGATGCATATTCTTTATTTTAGCAAAAGTACATGTAAGAGGAGCATGGTCAAAAGATTTCTTGAAAATTTAAGAGAAATGGGGTTAAAGGTATGTAATTGTTGTATAACAATTAGTTAAGGATGAACACATAATTGGCATTATCGTGAATAATTTGACAAGAAAACTTAGTTGCGGTCATAGTAAAACATATATCTGTATTTGAATACAAGTTTATCTATGGTATAATGGAACAAAATGGCGGTTGACAAAAAATATTAAGGGCGAAATACTTGATTCTAACACTCCTCGTTATTTTGTCACTATAGACAAAGAAGAAAACTGCCAATAAACACTGGTTAGGGACTACTTTGTAATCTACAAAGCGTTTTAAAGCAACAATAATACAGCATTTTACTGATATTTTCAGTTTTTATAATGTTTATTTTTTCATACAATACCGAAATAACATCTCAAATACACCAACGCAACATATTTGATCCATATCAGTTAATAAAATATTTTGACAAAACGGCGCCAATCCGTAAGCAACGTAATGACGTCATCCTAAGTATACAACTCATTCATAAACGCTGACGTCATTTCAAACATACGAAAATGATAAATTGTGCATGTAAACAATACAATTCATTCTAAGACGTAAGTTTTTATTGTTGAAAACCTTAATAAAATAACTTTTTTTCTTACTAATTCTTTTGTTTAATTATTTCTTTATCTTAGCAACAGTAGGTGCGAAATCGGACAACATTATACAAAATCGGCACCGGAAGTTATTTCCGCTTGAAAAAATAACATTAGAGACCTTCCGTATTTATCTTGATATATTCGAAATAATATCGGTCTTAGCGGTGTTTACCGGCTATATAACTCCGGTGTTGTCGTTTTGATGCGAATTAAATAACCACTCAGGCTTACGGCCTTCGTGGTCAATTCCTACGCATCAAAACTCCCAAACGGTGTTAAATAGAGTATATTTGTTTGTTTGTGTGTAAAATGAAATTTTATTTAATCGAGTGAGCTTTAAAAACAGTATTTTCACGAGTGGCGTAGCCACGAGTGAGAATATTGTTTTTAAAGTTCGCGAGATGAAATAAAATTACATCTTACACAACAAACAAACAAATTTTCTTTTTACTTCATGCTTAAAAACAAGTTAAAACGAAATTTCCTTGATATTAACTGTAATATTAAAATCTGTTTTCCCAACTTGTAGCCTCTATTATGTACAAGTATTAGTCGAATTTCTCATAAAATACAAAAAAGTCTTGGACTGAAAAATAAGTTCGACAATCAACGTTAAATGGCGATGATATTATTCATTTTATTCAAATAATATGAATGATCGCTTGTTTTAAAAATGAAAACAAACAATTCTAGTAGGAGAAAAAGTCAAACCATCCATCCATATTTCTGTTACTTACGGCGAATTTATATTAGACCTGGCTCTGTGAAATGTAAGCGGCCGCCATTTTTAAGAGGAAAATAACTGTGTTTGATTCAGAGGGATATCATTTGGGTTTGTTAGTCATACATATTTTAAGAAATAAGAAAACTTATTTGAGGATTGTTACAGACAATAAATAAGAGTAAAAGATGTGTAAACATTCAAAAAGCGGCTAGGAAATTGGAAAACATAGACTTTTTTAAGGCTACCTCATGCTGGGTTGTTAACTTATTCTTCGGGCTGATGTATGACATTGCTTTTCAAGTGATTAGGCAGTTTTTGCTCGTAGGATACTTAAATATGCCCAAATGTCATCAAGAGCAGTTTTGCATGTGGAAGGAATTGTATTTTCCAGACTGTAGAAATGAAAAAAAATTTAGGGACGATATTTGGCGATTGGTAATATGAATGAATTGAAGTAAGTTTTCTTCATTTTTAATTACTTTTGAAATTTCTATTCAGTTATTTATCAATTTCAGCTTTGCTTTTATCTAAACAGCCCTGACAATGTCAGAACTGTCAAATTAATAAAATTGCGGTACCGCACGGGGAAAATCTTAAAAGTAGTCTCATCATTGCTAAGTGTGAAATTATATTTTGATAATTTTCACTGTGAATTTATCAAATATAACTTTCACGGATTAATCAGTAATCCACTGAAAAACATAAAATAAATTAAATGAACACCGCTAAGACCGATATTATTTCTTAAATATAATGCCGTTAATTAACATAACAGAACAAAATATATGTTCTGTTCTGTTAATTAGCATAAACGTGACGAGTTCTGAAACGTTTCTTTTTTACTAATTTGGATTCACTGTGGTAGTTTTTCTTATTTTTTTTCTTTATACTATTGAAACTATATCTGACTTTTTACTTTATAACGGATAAACGCGATTAGTAAGAGTAACAGCTGTTGTTACTGTCAGAAATCAAATGTTTATATGCTCAGTGAGTATTTCATCAAAAGCTATTGTAATTTCAAAGAAAGAGAGAATTTTGAAGGTTTAAAAGGTTAAGTTGTCCATTTTATCTCAATAGGACGCAAGTTCGAAACCCCGCTACTCTTACAAACTTTTCAGATGTGTTTATTTGTTTTTAAAAACCAAGATCCTGTGTAACGGTGCTTTTCTCCTCCCGAGTAAAAGAATAAGTTTTTTTTCTTCGCAATATATTCGTTGGCTCAAAAACTTGAAATTACTAACAGTCTAACAATATGTGTTTCTGATGGCGACTTAAACATGTATAAAAACCCAAAGAAGATATGGAGCAAGTCTTTGAACGACTTGAAAAGTAGCTTACACTAAAGCAACGTGTATAGTGGTATTTTATCCACTTTTACCATATGCATAGTAATAAAAATACATAAATATCCTCTTAATATTATTTTGTAGAAAGTACAGGAATCATGATCATAGTGGAGCGACACATTAACATTTCTATTATAACATCAAGTCACGTGATGGGAGGCCAACATCAACAATGCAGTATAAAACATATTAAAATTTTATTTATAAAGTAACAGTGAGTGTGTGTATAATTTAAAACAAATTTATAAAATCTGTTTTATTATGTCTATATAATAAAACTGAATGATCACAATTATGTCATGATGTTAAAGTGCATATATTATCACAAACACGGGTCTTCTGCAGGCACTATATTAATGCAAGGGAAGTAACCCGAAATTTAGACAGTCTATTTTATCAGGCAGTATGTTAGATGGGTAACCTGGTACAATGTCGGTTCCAAATCATCTGTAACAAGATAGGTGACATGTGATGAGCACTTATCAAAAAACGTCCTTTAAATAAACACGGGTCCATTCTTCGTCTGCTAACGTTAAATCCTGGCACGCGCTGTAGTTTAAATCCTAATTTTCGTAAACAAAGTGCGACGTAGACGTCTTCGAGATGAAAAAAGGGAACGCTTGGAGAAACATGATAAACTTTAGACGCTACATTCATACTTGTCACGTAGCCGGTCCCTGAACAAAAACCTGGGTATAGTTGTTGCGGGTAGCTTTCTATTGATGCATACCATTTCGATTTTATTTGACGGATTGGTTTTGCTCTCTGGGTGCAAGACCCAGCCCGCAGTTTGGGAGGTTTTCACGTAAAGGCCCTTTGATTATTTTAAAACTTTTTGGAAATTTTTAAACAGTCATATCTGTTTTCTTTACATAAGCGCATGCGTAACGCTTGCACCCTTTTGAACCCCATAATTTTTTGATGTTAAATTCATATAAGAATCTACAAAATCTTCCTGTATTATATCATGATATATGTTGCTCTCTTTTAAAACGAGTTCATTATATCGACTTTCAGTATGTTCTCCAAGCAAAAAAGCATATCGAATATTGTCCGTATTCTTTCTAGTAAAACTTAACCATGTGGCACGTAAAGCCGCCCTGGCTTTCGTGTTTTTATGAGACGTGGTGATTAGCACTATCAGATCTATTATTTGTTCAGAATTTTTAAGTTTGCATATATCATTTTCTATCACATATTTGAAATTGTGTTGAAAGCATTCATCACATTCAAGTTTTCGTTCCCTGTCAGCTCCGTACTCAATGTTTCCAAATATGTCAATTTTTCTAGTTTTATTTTCGTTATTTTCAATATTGCTGTAATTATCATTGTTTACATCTTCCTTAGACAGGTGAAATGATTGATTTTCAGGTAACAAGTATCCCATGTGATCATCTGTGATCATTTCTTTGCTTTTAGATCCATGAGAGTCGGGTAAGAAACGGTCAGGATCCTCATGGTTGATAGAGTATTTCGTTTTATGAAATGGATCGCTATATCGTTCTGTTTCCCCGACTTCGTTAAACACTTTTAAACTGCTATTTGAAATGTGCTCATCTAACCTTGGCTTATTCCGATGTTCTTTATACTGTGACTTAATTCCATCTGACGATTTATTATAATTATGCTGATAAGAGCCGTTTCCTGAACTGTCTCGAATTCTTAACTTTAGTCCTTGCATTTTAATGAACATGTCTACCTTTAGTGACATGGTTGAACTGGAAGATACCAGATTTAAACACACATATATCACAATGGCGGTGAATGTTAGCAGCATGAACTGTGTAGTCACTCTCCTTACACTTAAATGTGTCCATTTCTTCTTTACTTTCATTTTACATATATATATATGAATATACATACATGTATATACAACCTTAAAATTAGTCACAACTGTGCAGTAGTATATTTACAACCATACTAAAGTTCTAACTATACTGTTTCATCACATGCTTAACTTTATTGTTAAACTATTTATGTGAAATTATTCACAATTCCATGTTATGTTATGTTATGTTATGTTATAAAAAAAAACACTGTAATCATTGTAAATGTCAAAGTGTTTAAATGCATCAAACAATCCTAAAGTGTTCATTACCCTATTTTCTAAAGCTCATAGTAATATTCCAATCGATTTGTTTCTCACTACGTTATTGCTGATATTTCCTGCTATATTAAAACCATGGTAACGTTTATATCTGAAATTTACGCATTTTAGCACTAAACGACAGTTGTTTCTTGGGAATTTCCAGCTTTTGTCTCGAACTATGTTATTCTATTGGTATTATCATCAATATGACGAGTAGTCTTATATAATCATCCTTACAATATGTAAATGTGTTATCACACATGGAAACTTTTTTCCTGTGTTTTACATTCCAAAACAACACGCTAAGCAATGTATTCACTTTCTGCAGACGACCTTTTCACCGGCAAAACTGGCTTACGCTTTTAAATCCAGACTGTTACCTCTGGGAATATGATTAAATTACGGATACTTATCTTAATTATGATCGACATTTGCGGAAATTTAATAATGTACATCGCATAAATCCTCCTGTATTATTGTACTTTAGTACATTATGGTACTGGAACTGTTCAGCTAGTGTACGATGTAACAGTCATAGAAAAACTATTTATGTATAAACAAAATCATGAAAATGCCTTCACAACACGATTTACACATTGTCTTACTTCCCTTTTTGCTAAAAATCCAAGTTACTTCTAAAACAATACTTTTCTGACATGATTTAACGAACGGCATATAACTGTTTAGAAAGAAATAACGGCATAGTTTTATACAACTCCCAGCAAATTTTTATGTAGTACTTTATATTAACCTACTTCACACAATCCGGAAACAACTTCTTGACATAACTCGTCAGGAAAAACTATTTAAGTGTATACACAGTAAAAAGCTATGAGGAAGAAAATACGTGTTAACTTGTATTTCAGAATTTCCATATTTCTTTACTATAACTTTTTTTAAATTAATATAGTAAATAAAACTGACTTTGTCATTGCACAAACAAATAAATGATTAATAATCAGTTTTTACATGATTTTTGGCACGGTTATTTAGATGTTACAAGTCATTTCCTACCAAAAATGCCTTAAAACGCGAACCAATGTTATTCTTCTTTCTGTGGCAGGAAAGAAAAAAAAAAACAAAAAAACAATGTCTAACTGATGTTAACAAAAAAATGATGTAAACAAGATTTGCCAATTATACAGACGATTTTATCATGAAATATAAATCGTTCTATTCATTTTTATTTTGTTTGTAATAAATAAGAAACACATACATGTACAACAAAAAGTATTTTAGTTCACCAAAGTATGATAGAATTCCATACATCAGTGCAAAGGAAATAATTACCAGGGAAATATGAATGCAATATACTATAGATCCACACAGAACGAAGAGATAAATGTTATACAATACATGTATAATTTTAACATAGAAAAATGAGAAAATAGACATATAAATATATACATATTCTGTCAGCTTAGTATTCTAACATTTTAATGATATTGTGGATATCTGGAGTCCGGACGAAATCCGTACAAAAAGTCTAAAAAAAACAAACAAAAAAAAAAACAAACAAAAAAACTATTACTAAAATAGCGAAATTTGGATACATTTTTATTTCATTTGTAATAACACAATATTATGATGGAATCCAGTAAGACTATATGTTTTCGTGTAAGTACAAAGGGAGTAATTGCCGGGGAAAATGTCAACGTCAGAAGAATGCTGCGAACCATTGTGCAAAATGTCAACGTGTAAAACGCTGAGAACCTTTCTCCTGGTTTGGTTATTTGAAACGTTATCGTGTGAAAATATGAAATAAAACGACATTCACGTTATAGGCATGCACAATTATATCTGAGGTACTTGTCTAATTTTAACACATCCGAATCGTTATATATGTTACTAGTACCTTGCTTGTACATGTAAAACTTTTTTCTTCTTTGCGAAAGACGTTCTGAGGACATTGTTTTATTCATCCGTTCCTAGTGAACATTTGTTTCTAGTACAATTATATTTGGTGTTTTATTAAATATCGGAATGGTTTAAATGATGAGAAAAAAGGATACATTGCCGTTGATATTTTCACGAAAGCAGGTATAGGGAGAGAACACTGTTATGTCTAAATTAAATAGCGTGCACGCTTTACGTCCCCTCTTGGTTTAAATTGAGTAGATTTAAGCTATAAAGCTTATGAGTGTCCTCTCCCAGTTATAACAATTTACATAAATATAGTTCATGGCATTATCATACACAACGGTTAGTTGAAAATATTTCAAAGACATTTACATAATAAGTATTTTACAATGTAGTACATAATTATTAGAGCAAAATGAAAATTTATAGCAAACTGGAGTAAAGGTCTTAGTGATATTTTAGTAACATATACTTCGCCTCTTGACAAGTGGATGCATCTCATCTCCTGTTGTTGATACAATACATCAGTAAAAGACTTATCTACCTCCCTAAATTCATGTATTGCTTTTGTTATATTGAATAAAAATGGAAAATACGTAACGTACGGTACTGACCAGGTCACAGTGAGTGCAATCGTTCGGCTAGTTTCAGTTTAAAATCAAAGGGATGCAAGCTCTGTCTTTGCAACTAAATCGCACTGTATATCTGTATGTGTTTTCCTGTATAATTTTATTTTTATATACTATAATTCATCTTGCAGGGCACCGAGACGCAGCGTCTGTGTTTAAATTTTTACTGTAACAGTTTGAGTTTGATACATATGGAATTTTGCATGACTAGAGTTGCATCAAAAATCATTTCTGTTCATTTTTTTATGACAGCCACACTTTATCCTTGCATATCGTGGCTTAAGAAAGATACTTAAAAAAATAGTTGTCTCGACTGGGATTGAACCCCAGACCTGCGTTGTAAATTGTTTGATACTTGTAACAAAATAAAAATATTTCTTTCTTTTACATCACTAATTTTAAGTTGTTTACTACTTGTTGTTAGGTTTGTCGTGAAGCTCTGTGCCAGAGATATGCGGTCAGAAAAAACAAAAACTTATATCGATATACATGTAGTTAAGATTCTTATATTATATAAACTGCAATTATATTTGACTTATCTGAATAAAAGTATTAATTTATTTCAATATTTAATTTATTGTGCTTGCAACCCAGGGGCTTTGGATTCTAGCTTGTGATGAAACTATCCAGATAGCTTACGGAACGACGGTGGCTCTACTGAGGTGCCCGTTCGTACTTGAAATAATACACGGAGGGACACTTCGAGTCTTCATTGCATCGTCGCTGCATGTGTCATATTTAGACATGTGACGTAATCATTATACATGTGACTTAACCCCTAAAAAAATGCGACGCGCTGAAAATTTAAGTACGAAAAAAAAACAGGAACAATTTAGCTTAATATCAGGTACGGCAGCATTTATTTGTTGATGTCGTGTTAGAATCAAATAATATATCCAAATCGGTGATTTTATCGCTTGATAACATCACTGTCGCCTCGTGATATAATTCCTCGCATCCGAACCCCAAACAGTGATGTTATTGAGCGTAAAAATCACTGTTTGGGATATATTATTTCTTAAATGACACACACTTTCGGTTCTTCTATGTTCAATAGGGAAACATACTAGTTGTGTTAGAAATGTAGGATACCGCTCGCTTTCGGTCTTCTTTGTCTATAGAGAAAATTTTACGAATATTTTGTCTATTTTATATACCGCAATCGAGACTAGACAAATATTTACATGATTTACTAAAAACAACAGGATTTAAAAAAGACACTTTCCATTACGCA